AACTACTAAACCGATTGCTTTGAAATTTTGCAGATGTATAGTTAGAAGTCCGGATTAAATAATAGGGTACTTTTTATCCCGGAAAAAATTATATATTCCCGAGGGAAAATAAAAGTATTGGTATAGATGGCGCTGTGTGTATTGGTATATGTCACATAGGCTACTTTTTATCCTTTTGTGACGCGAGCGAAGCCGCGGATAAAAGCTAGTATTCCATAAAAAAACAAATCTCTCTTTTGCAGAGGAGGCCATCTTTTGCAGTGGACTGTCGACGATTATGACAAATTGTAGTCGTAGAACACAATGAGTTGCATGAATTAATAATCTTCAGTTAGATACTTGCGATTCCTAAACCACTGACTAGTGAGTGAGTAACCTCCCATTACCAACCCAGAAAGCTGCATCAAAGGGAAAATTTCCTGCATCTTTTCCAGTGAATCCCTGTTATCCAATTCTTCCACTCGATGGGAAAGCCCGATGCAGTGTCATTCAACCTTCGCGCTCCAACCTGCTTCACAATAATGTGACGTATTTTGTATCTGTGGTCGCTATGACAGGAGCGCGGCAACATGGCGGCAACTGAGTCACTTCCGCGATACTTTCAAACAGTATAATATATAAGTAATTCATAGAAATAAAGCAGTTTGCGTTATATATCGCGTGCGGTTCAAGGAAAATATAAGACATTAGTAGATGTAGTAAATATTAGTGGTGAGCGTCAATCAGCGCCATATTTATTGCACAAATTGAAGAAGAATCGTTTGAATGGGTACTTTCCTTAATCACTACATAGTATCAAAACAAAGTCGCTATCGCCGTCTGTCTGTCCCTATGTATGCTTAGAACTACGCAACGGATTTTGATGCGGATTTTTTTAAAAGATAGAGTGATTCTTAAGGAAGGTTTTTATGTATAATACGTAGGTACATATTGCACCCGTGCGAAGCCGGGGCGGGTCGCTAGTCAAAAATAAATAATTTCGACGGTTCAATACAATAAAATATTAAAAAATAATCACACTTTCATTAATTGATTTTATGACCAACTTAATTTTAGTATTTTTCCAGCATTTTTTTAAGAAATAGGTATACTGTTTGACGCTAAATAAACGTGACGTCACAATACACAATCTCGTACAAAATTCATAGAAAACTGTCGTTTTTGACAGTTCGAAAAAAGTACCTATTGAATTTGACTAGTTGGCAAGTACGCAATTTATTCTTGGTTTAGAGTTAATAGATATCCTAGATTTATAAGTATTTTAATAAAAAATGTATGTATGTATGATAGGTATTAGGTTACCCACCCACTGCTAGATTAGAAGTCAGCCGAACGTACGAACGAAAAATAAACAATCAGCCGAAGATATTACCTCCTCCTATTTTGAAGTCGTAAAAATATACTAAAGAGCCATTCCTTTCACTCGCCCTACCCTTAACAAGACACCCAGTAATGAATGTACTCCGACATCGAAGCGGTGTCAGGTAACAAGTGACAGTCGGGGAAACCCAGTGTTTAGGGAAAACCACGCGATATGATGAGGATAGCAACGGATGCACGAGTGTCTTGTACGTATAAAGTATTTGATACGAGTACGCGTTCGGCACTGTGATTGGCCGGTGCAAATAAAGCAACCAATCAAAGTGCCAAGTACGAATAACCATCGCATTCGTAACGTAATAGTATCGAGTGCGTTCGGCACTCTGATTTGCCGGCTCAAGTGAATCAACCAATCAGATCGCTTAACTCACTCGATACTGTTACGATACGAATGCGATAGTTATTCGTGCTTGGCACTCAGTGCGCCGAACGCGTACTCGTTACTATTACTTTAAACGTAAATGAAACTCGTACTAAGGCCTGATGCAGATAGACGTAGTGTGAGTGCACCCGTGTGCTGTGTATGTATGTAGGTACATACATAGTGTACAGGTTTTCATTACTTGTATTAAAGGGAAGGTAAACGATTGATAAATTTATTTTTAATTTTATTTTTTTTTTTTTTATTTAGACTTGGTACAAAAACCACATGTACAGGTCTTGAAGGCTCGCACTGTCTGACAGTCGACCTTTAAGTAGTGCGGAGATGGTAGTGACAGGTGACAGAACATCATACCTTTTATCTCCAAGGGGATTGCCTATCTTAGGGGTAGGCAGGTAAAAAATAACGAAGCCAATTCTCAACACGTCCCCGTCGTTGGCTTTGGGTAGCGCCGAGATTGAGATTGGAACGATTCCCAGCAGATCATGGTACAATAGCTGATAAACTACCGCTCGGGACTTGTACCGAGTTCTAGATACTATTTTTTTTTACACTTTATAGGTCGACGTTTGATCACCATCTCGCCTGATGGTAAGCGATGATGTGACCGACGATGGAGCACGCCTACCTATGAGCAACCTGTTCACTCGGGACTTGAAGACAACTAAGTCATATTTGACGGGAAACACAGCCTCTGGCAAGGAATTCCATTCCTTAGCAGTTCGCATGAGGATGCTTGACGTGAAACGCTTCGTTCGAATGGGTGGAATGTCCACCATATAAGAGTGGCGTCCCGCCGTTCGTCTGGTGGTACGGTGGTGAAACGGACTAGGCTACTGCTAGTAGATGTAATACGAACCTGTAGCACTTGAACGTGAGTTCTGCACTCGATTAGAGTTTTAAATTGTAGTTCTGATGCGGATCTATGAGAAACAAAAGAGTTCTAGGGATTGGAACAGTTCTAGCCCTATACAATAATATCATTTGAAGCGCTGAAATTGTTAATATTCGATTTTTTGCTCTTTCTAGCATGCTCTGCTGGTACTTGAACGTGAGTTCTAGACTCGATTAGATTTCTAGAGGTAGATGTTAGTTTTTATACAAACACGAGAACAGAACTATTTCTGAAAACAATAAGGAACTGTAGAACTCATTCGCATGCGATAAGAAGTCACGGTTATTTCTGATCTGCTGTAAAATCATCTGCCGGATATTTCTTTTTCAATTGTCTTTTTTTAAGGTAAAAACGCCGGAACTATTTGTAAAAGGTATCAGGAACTATAGAACTCAGCTGCATGCAATGAGAACTCTCATTTAGTTTCGATCTGCTGGACAATGAGCGGCTAAGTTCACTAACATCACAATTCCAAACTCCGTGCTACTACTGAGATGGTTTTTAAAACCCAGTAATACTTTGCCCGACCCGGGAATCGAACCCGAGACCCCTTGCCCAGTAGTGGCACTTGCCACCACTCGGCCACCGAGGCAGTCGAAGCAGTACAACTAGAAATTGCTTTTTGTAGGTAATTTTTTTTATACCACGCCGGTAGCAAATGAACGCACAATAGTCAACGCTTGAAGCACACTGTATAATTATGTAGACCCAGAACACAGTCGCGGAGAACCTAACGGGTAACCGGGGCTCCGGCTCGACGTGCAGGAGAAGGAACGGGGTGGTGTTTAGTCAGTAATAGTCTGACACTCCCTTCCGTCTCACCCAGACGGGAGCAGTCATTCGATGATTTTCCCCCCTTAAAAAAAACCCAGAACACACAATCTGTCACACACACCCTTAGCTTAGCAGAACAGTACCTACTTATTCAGATATTCTCGAAGTAACTCAGTTGTTTACTCACTTGTTCTGAAGTACACTACGAGATGAACAAGCACAATTAACAAGTACATTTGAAAATGTTTGTATTTTCCGGGAAAACTGTCCGTTTTACCAATGATTAATGATTAGTATTTATTTTGTTATTAATTTATTAAGTGCAAGTATATCGTTGTAACCGCAAGCTGAGTCAGTGCTCAGGTAAAGGAACTGACCTGTCGGTCGGGTCGCACAGGCGTGAGTACTGACTTTTTTGAAAATCATCGATTGACTGCTCCCGCCTGGGTGAGGCGGGAGGGAGTGTCAGACTCTTACTGACTAAAAACCACCCCGTTCCTTCTCCTGCACGTCGAGCCGGAGCCGCGGTTACCCGTTAGGTTCTCCGCAACATGACTACTGATTAACTATTAGCTGTGTAAGCGGTCCTGGCATAGCACAGAAGTAGCGTTAGTGGTTTTTATTCAGTTTTTTTTATGGAATAAGCCGGTAAACGAGCAGGCGGATAACCTGATGGTAAGCAATCGGCGTCGCCCATGGACACCTGGACCACCAGAGGCGTTACAAGTGCGTTACCGGCCTTTTGGGATTAGGAATTTGAGGATTGTTAGGATTCAGGGTGTGGGTAAGGGGGGAGCGGTAATTGGGCATTCGGTAACCTCACTCACACGACGTAACACAACGCAAGCGTTGTTTCACGAGCCGGCTCGACCGTAATGATACCACCAACGAGAACGAGCAGTACGCAGACGTGAAGCAAAGCTTGCGTTGTGTTTCATCGTGGAAGTGAGGTTATCGGAGGCCCTGGCAGTTACTCCCCTACTCAATCCCCGAATATCAAGAAAACATCAAATTCCTCATCCCCGAAAGGCCGGGTATCAATTACCATCATGTCTGCTCGTTTGCCGATATATGCTACAAAAAAAATACGCCATGCAGCTATACCAGCATATTTCGCTTGTATAATAAAGAGAGAGAACTGGGAAGTGGGACACAATTTTAATTTTGGTACAAACGGACACACAGAACAATCTTAGGTATAACTTGTATTTTATTATATAGATACGTATTAATGTCATGGTGAATCTGTCCAATACTTATAAATAAATTAATATTTACGAAAGTACAAAATTCTATAATTTAGGGTAACTTACACCGCTATACCTCGACCTACATCTAGCACCAATAGCACCAATTCATTGTAATTGTATTAATGGCGTTCATATACTCAGAATATAATTACACACAGATTTTTTTTACAAAAACGAGGATTATTTCCTCGACACAAGGATTGAAGACTCCCAAATTGTGAATTTTAGATGATACTACGTCATTAACACATAAGTGCCCTTATTATTAAATCCTCTAGCTTGAATTTATTTATTAAACTAAAATTATTATATTTTAAAACTAACTCTCTTGCATGGCTTTATTTCGAAGACGAGTTAGTACCGCTACTCCTCGCAAGATGGCAGGTGCTGTCCGAATCGTTAAGCGGCACACGAAGAAAATTGCTAATAACAACGTAGCGTTGTGAATCACGGTTAATCTGCAAAGTGAAAATTTTTAATAATTTCTAAAAATTACATAACGATGATTGGAAAAATAGTAGCTAACTTAATAGAATAATAATTGTAAATTATTTTTTTTTTAATTATAAAGTCTACTAACAGATGGCGCTGTATTAAACTGTAAGATTCTGGATTGCGATCTATCTATTAAAAGTATTGAAATCGGACGTAAAACTATAAGAAATGTATAAAAAAATGAGAAAGTTACAGTTTCATCCTCCTTCTCGCCGTGTGTATATCGTCGTCTCGCTCCCGCAGCAAGTACCGACGTGCACCCTTCACGAAGTCGACACAATGCTGCTCCCAGCTGAATAACAAAACATTATTTTCTTCAGTTATTGGGCGTTCGTTACACACGGAGATGGAAGATGAATTACCAAATTGCCCAGGATTCGATTGGCTTAAACAGCTCGGGTGCTTACTCATGAAATCAATCTCTATATTAATGCAATTTCAATCCAATAAAATCTCAATAATTATTCAATGTCAACATTATACAACCACAATCGTAACTGTTAAAATAACAGAGTACGGAATATAAAGCCAAACTCAAGACCATTTAGTTCATTCAAAATCATTGGTAGCGGATGCATGGGGAATTGGGGACGCGACGTATAGAACCTATGAGTATCTATGATAGACAAACAAAGAGGATGGTTTGATTTAATAGTGAGTCTTGAGTGAATGAGTGATAGTTCGTCAAAGTGTAAAAATACAAGAATATTTTAGATTACTATTATTATTTTTATTTCCGTCTGGTGTAGATTATTTAAAAACATTACACACGTATTTTTAATTTCCTTACGGAAGCGAATAGTTTCGAAGATATATTGATTATAAATATCGCATGACGTCACTTTGAGTACGACTTATACTCTAAAATGACGTAGCTAACTCCCACTCCTAAACTTTGACTCGTGTTATCTAAGTATTGTTTTCTTATAAGATAAAATAAAAAAAATACGTGGCTTATATATTTTCATTACCTAACTGACGAACTACCTAATTAGATTTTTAATTTTCATACCTTGTCATCAACCCTATTCTATCTGGAATTGAGTATTGAAGCAGATAATGTCTGGGCATACCTACCTATCTAAGCCTATAATGTATATAACTTCACGGTTCATACAGAAAAGGAGGAAATGTAATAAGATTTAGAAGTCAGTGTCTGATATACTAACTCGATAGTTTCAGGTCTCAGATTGTACCGCAGTTGGTCCTCCCCGTGCAGTCTGTCAGCCAGCCTCTGTACGTGCGTGGTGTTGAAGCTCCAGTGTCGGGTCGCGAAGAACTGCAGCGCGTGGTTCATTGCTTGCAGCCGCCTACATGCCGTCCATAGACTCGGCCTGAGAACACCATATATAAATATTCCAAATGGATCTCCTTCTTCCTTCCCTGTTTCGTTCAGTCAGTAGTCAGTGTACTTACTTCTGTTTGAGTCCACACGCTCGCCACACGCAGTGCGCGACACACAGTGGCGCCGTCTGTAGTACCGTCTCCAATACTTTCTGGAGCACACTGTAACACAGGACTTATTGAACTTGACACTTTACTCAGGTAAGTATTTAGTCATTGTTTTTCATCTTCATTTTCTAATTCTGATGCTGTTTAAAGTAGTGTGGATGTTTTTATAGCATAAACGAGCAGACAGATCACCTGATGGTAAGCAATCGGCGTCGCCCATGGACACCCGGAACACCATAGGCGCTACAAGTGCGTTATCGGTCTTTTGGAGAATAGGACTTTGAGGATCGTTGGGGATTTAGGGATTGGGGAGACTGGGGAAGGGGAGGGGATAATTGGGCCTCCGGTAACCTCACTCACACGACGAAACACAACGCAAGCGTTGCTTCACGTCGGTTTTCTGTGAGACCGTGGTATCACTCCGGTCGAGCCGACCCATTCGTGCCGAAGCATGGCTCTCCCACACTTATCAGTAGAGTAATTCATTAAGAGTAATCTAAAAAGTTTTTGATCTCTACTTCTTTCCGAAATCATAAATAGTAAATAGACTGCCTTACGTGTTCTCGCAGATGATGCCGTACGGGTACCAGAGCACGTGGTCGAAGGGATGCTCCCTGACCAGCCGCAACATGCGCGCGCGGAACTGGCCCCACGTCGCCGCGTGACTGCTGGACGCGCACGTGTACACGCGACCTTCGCGGACACTATGACATAAAAGATGTATGAATAGAAGACGGAGAATAGTGTGAGCATACGTTTATCACAATCCTTACTTCCTTACTTATATTATAAATCGGAAAGTGAGTTTGTTTGTTTGTTTGTTTGTTCCGACTTCACGCCGTAACTACTAAACCGATTGCATTGAATTTTTGCAGACGTAAAGTTAGTAGTCTGGATTAAATAATAGGGTACTTTTTATCCCGAAAAAATTTGATGTTCCCGAGGGAAAACATAAGTATTGGTATAGATGGCGCTGTGTGTATTGGTATATGTCACTTAAGCTACCTTTTTATCCTTTTGTGACGCGAGCGAAGCCGCGGGTAAAAGCTAGTTGAAATATAAATATTCTGTGTGACACAAGAAACGAACCAATAGTGGAGTAATTTCTTTTAGTTATAGAAATTCTTAAGGAGCGGACTTTCCAAATATAATCAATCTGCAACATGTCATGTCTATCATTTAATGAAAAGAAAAAAGAAAAGATGTCTTCATCATCATCATCATCATCATCAACATCAGCCGGAAGACGTCCACTGCTGGACAAAGGCCTCGCCCTTAGTCCTCCACGTCGAACGACAACTCGCCACCCGCATCCATTGGCTCCCCGCAACTATAGCGATGTCGACGGTCCACCTAGCGGGAGGCCTGCCTACGCTTCGTCTTCCGGTCCGTGGTCTCCACTCAAGGACTTTCTTGGCCCATCAGTCAGTCCTTCGAGCGACGAAAGATGCCTTATTTTCTAAAATCTCTGTCGCATAGGATTTTTTTACCAACAGTCTCTATTAACCTAACGAAAGTGAAATGTTATTGTACTATCTCCCTACAAACAAGAAATAACTATCCCCTTTAATACAACAATGTCTAACTTGTCAACTCCAGTCTCCCACGCGACAGCGATCAATGTATCGATGCATATATCGACGGGCATCATGTCGGCGCGCCGCTGTGCTCCACACCGCAGCACCCGCAGCAGTCCCTTCCCTGCGCCCGCTATCACTCCGCTCGGACCGTTCAGGTTCTCTATCCAGCCGGGGAACGGGTGGCGGAGGGAGGATACCACTGGAATAGAGAAAAGAGTTGGTTTGAGAGAAAATGAATAGTTTATATAGAGATTTATTTATTTAAGTCTATAGCTATACTATTATTTTTTATGTATTTCTCTTGGTCATAGATCTTGAATACGCTTGCCTCTTGCGTCGACCATTGTTTTTGTATCTGCATCACCCAAAAGCTGACCCAATGGCTGGAGGAGAATGTCGATGGCATTAAGCTCACCATGTACATACATTAGAGTGTGCATGAAGCCTTTTAAAATAAAATTAAAATAGTTCTTTGTAGTGATTGGTTCTTCTAAGATACAATGAAGGAATGAAATAGAGAGGAAAGAAGATAATGAAGAAGAAAAATGAAAGAAGTTCTTTTCAACGCATATCAAGACACACAAAGAAAGGACACAACTTTAAACAACGTGTTATCTTGTGAATTTGACATGTCCACGTTGAGTTGGAGGTCATAAATAATATTTTTATCCTGCTCATACCATTGTTTTATTAGACCAGAAGGTTATTGTTTATCTAGAATAGCTTAAAATCTGGAATGGAACTATGGAATTAAGCAATTAAGAGTTGAGGAAACTTAAATGTAGGTATAGTACCTATGCCTTAATAAACATCAAGGAGGGTACAATATTATCTCCAACTAACCTATAGAGGGTCTGAAGATAGCGCACGCGTAGTGCGCCGACGTGGCGCGCTCACTGACTGCGCTCTCCGCCACCGCCTTGGTGAATGTGTATGTGTTAGGCTTCGGCGCGATCAGTCTGAAGGAAAGACAGCATACACATTGTCACATTGTTATATTGGTGGATAGACTTAAACGACTTGTATTCTTTATAATTATATTAAGATGTATTACTACTAGGTAACAATCATCATTATCAGCAGCACCAGCTGGAAGTCTTCCCCTTGTGAACAAAAGCCTCCTGTCTAACCGCCAAGCGATTGACATGTAAGAAACCCGCGGTTCAGAAAACAAGTGTTCCAACATACGTCCATAGATGGCGCTTTTTATTTGAGATCGTTTTCTGAATCGCGGTGTTAAGATTCTCCGGCAATAGTATAAGGATTCAACGAATTTATTTATTTTCAATAGGACACGTGCTATTGTATCATATTTTATTGTACAATAATTCGGAATATACCTCTATATAAGTGTTCGGTAACCACTACCAAGGACTTTTATTCAAATCAACCCCCAGCTTAACCCTCACGATACCGACTACCGAGGGTTATCCACCTCCTTAAACCTCCTTTAGATTATCATGTCAAGCGGAATGATATTGCATGTCAATGCCTAATTCCTGTGTAATGTTGTTAGCTTTCAATTATCATAGTTCACCTAACTTCATCCAAATCTAAGTAGAGAAGTTTTCTGCTACTTTATCATCATCATCATGAACAGCCTGCGAAAGCTACAGAACTATTATAAGTCTCCTCAGGATAAGAAAGTTTGCCATTACTTCTACGCTTGCTTGGCGTGTTGGAGATCGTAGTTTTATCAAATAATATTATACTTCTACACCTATCTCTTCAGCATATCTATTATATCTTCATAAATATAGTAGTTACTCTAACCTGGGTGTGATCTCCTGCAGCATAGTCGCCGGCAGAGCATCGACCAGTGCCAGCAGATGGTTGGGAGACACTGGCGCCGGGTAAACGCGCTCCTCCACCGTGCTCAGCTCTGCGTTACTGTATGCCGTCGACACGTGGATGAATACCTGTCGACAGATGACGAGTGGAATAATTTTTTAGAGTAAAATGATTACGATGTCGTTTGTGTTGGCATTTTGACATTCAAACTTTCCGTTTTCCGAAATATCTGGAGTTACTTCAAAGATCACCACATTACCCATTATAAACGTTTCCTCCTTTTTACCATCCATCATCCTTCATCCATATAACCTATTATCCACCACACACTATCATCTTAGCTGATCAGCTTCAAGTACCTGCATGTTAGGCAGCTGGTCGCAGATGTCCATGAGTGTCAGCACTGGTCGCACGTTCTGCTCGACAGCTACTGACAGTGGCTCGTCGAACTTTAGCGTCGCTGCCGAGTGGAATACTACTGACACCTGGAGGGAACAATAGGGAGTTAAGTAAGTTCTGACACTTTGAATATATTATTACTTATGCTTCGGCACGAATGGGCCGGCTCGACCGGAGTGATATCACGGCCTCACAGAAAACCGACGTGAAGCTACGCTTGCGTTGTGTTTCGTCGTGTAAGTGAGGTTACCGGAGGCCCAATTACCCTCCCATTCCCCAATCTCTCCAATTCCTGAATCCCCAACGATCCTCAAACTCCTAATCCCCAAAAGGTTGGTAACGCACTTGTAACGCCCCTGGTGTTCCAGGTGTCCAAGGACGCGCCGATTGCTTACCATCAGGTGATCCGTCTGCTCGTTTACCGGCTTATCCCATTCCCATAAAAAAAACAACAATAATTCATCATCAGTGTAACAGTCCACTTTTAAGGGCCACTTAGGAAAATCTAAGAGAGATTTGCCTTATCCTCTACCCTCCACGCTTGCTAGGCAGGTTGGAGATCACAGCAATCCCTTTTAGAGGATTTGTCAGATCCACAGTAATAAGATCTTCCACCTACTTCCTCAATGCTTACCTGGTTTAGCTGATTCAAGGTAGACTGGTCAAAGCCGAACCGTCGCTTAGTGACGTCACCGGGCACCACACACAGCTTGTCCAGCTGTTGTGGGCATTGCTCGCGTACCACGTCGAACACCTGCCGGGTAGAAACGAATGAAAAGAGATGGAGGAAGATAGATGATCGGAGATAGGTGATTGATGAATGATGATTGATGATTAATGATTGAATGTGAATTATGTCGTGGTTGCTCGGAGGTTAAAGCCACCCGCTTCTCATGCATGAGGATGCGGGTTCGAAACCTACCAACAGGAAGTACCAATGTGATGTTTTCCGAGTTATATGTACATACTTCCTATGATTATTCAGACATTCTGACGACCAGTGAAAGAAGAAAATATCGCGAGAGAACCTGGCCTTATAATTTCTATTTTTAATTATACGTTTGCCAAACCATGCATTTATATGTTTAATATGCTCAAACCTTCTCCGCAGAGAAGAGGCCTTTTGTCAGTGGTGGACACTTATAGGCTGTCGATGTGATTGGTGATTGATGATTGGTCATTGATGATTGATGATTGATGATTGATGATTGATGATTGATGATTGATGATTGATGATTGATGATTGATGATTGATGATTGATGATTGATGATTGATGATTGTTGATTGATTTGTATGTTATATGCAGATAACAGATATCAGGTACCTGTGATTGTTTGAGTAGTGCGAGTCTCTTGTCGGGTGCGCAGTCCTTCTTGTGGCGCATGAGCAGGTGGAGGCGACTGATGTCGGGACACGTCCATAGGAGGCGCTCTACCAGCACCTAATGGATTACAACACTGTTATACTTTGTTATATCAGCTCTGATGTCATAATTTCCATAGTTACCTAGTACCTGCTTCATACTGTGTTGCTGTAGACGATATAATTAAATCAAAAATCTTCGTGCATGTTTGATTTATACTCACATTAATAAAACACATAGGCACATACATACATACATAACTGTGAGGTTGCCTGTCTTCTATAGGGGTAGGCAGAGATGATGAAACGCAAAGTCGAACTCAATCTCAATCTCAAAAGCATTTATTTTGTATTGTAACTTTCGTGAGACACGTAATTATTTGACGAGGAACTCGACTAGTTTCAAGCCAGTCGAGTTCCTCGTCAAATTATTACGTGAGTAAGCCGAAAACATAATAATTTATTTAGCATTTTATTTTGTGTATTTTTGAAACGTCAACAAACATGAAATAATAGACTGTCTCGTTGGCCGAGTGGTCGCAAGTGCGACTGCCGGGCAAGGGGTTTCGGGTTCGATTTCCGGGTCGGGCAAATAATTACTAGGTTTTTTTAAAATTCTCAGTATTAGCACGGAGTCTGTAATTGTGCCCGGTATATGGCAATAGGTTAACCCCTATTACATGGGACTCATAACATAAATAGTGAAAAAGTGGGTGTTACATTGTACAGTGGCATAATGTGCACCTCTGCCTACCCCTTCGGGGATAAAAGGCGTGATGTTATGTCATAAAATAATAAAAGTCAGTGAAGCTAGGCGCTCGTTCCAAAAAGTAGATTCGAGTGGACAAGAACGAGCAAGAAACTCTAATAGTTACGATTCTTACATAAAAAAAAACACAATAATAGAAAAATATTTTGCTTAACCTGGTAATCGAACGCGCGACTCACTGTTCATGGTTCGAATACACACACACACACACACACACACACACTAGAATTCCGACCTTAGGACCAATGAGTCCTATGTTATAGTTACCTTCCCCATGAACCCGGTAGCCCCCGTGATGAACACCTCCCTCCCCGCGAAGTACTCCGGGATGAGGGGGGGTGTCGAGGACTGCGGCGCGGGACGAGGTACCATGTCGCTGATATTGTACTGTACTCACTGCTAATGGAAAAACAACGTAATATATAAACAGTTAAACACATTTTCTATTTTAAACGGTTTTAATAGCTAAACTATAATTTACAAATCATGCACTTTCGTTTGATATCCATAAAGGAGGCAGTTGTGGAATTAATTATGTTTAAGAGTGTGTACCAAATATCAGATTGATTTGTCGTCAGGAAGGGGGTGACATTGTAATTGAGCCAAACAAACACACGGAGCAAGCTAAATGAAACTAAAATAATATAGAAATAACAAGATATTGAAGTCTAAAGACCTCACTTATTTTCTAGACATCTCATTTTCATACATTCTAATGTCAATTATACTATCTAATACTTCTTTTTTTATATGGGATAGTCCGGTAAACGAGCAGACGGATCACCTGATGGTAAGCAATCGCCGCCCATGGACACCCGGAACATCAAAGGCGTTACAAGTGCGTTACCGGCCTTTTGGGGATTAGGAGTTTGAGGATCGTTGGGGATTCAAGGATTAGGGAGATTGATGGGGGAGGGTGATTAGGCCTGTGGTAATGTCACTCAAGAGGAAACACAACGCAAGCGTTGTTTCACTATGGTTTTCCGCTCGTTGGCGGTATCACTCCAGTGCCGAAGCATGGCTCTCCCACACATACTTTGTTCGCCCCGGGAATCGAACCCGACACCCTTTGCCCGGCAGTCGCATATACGACCACTGGGCCAACGAGGCAGTCTTAACATTACGTAAGTACTAACTTAATAAATAATAATATTAATACCCACGCGAATGAAGTATTAACTTAGTGTCCTTTATTTTAAGCAGGTTTTTGATAGCTAATGTCTTTTATTGTTAAAATCATAATCTACCCACGCTCATTAGGTTTAGGTAAATGTTTGGTACTTAACCCACGACTCGGATCGAAAGAATATTCCTTTAAGTTAAATTTAAGTTCACACGGCCACACATGAATGTATACAAAACCAGTTTATCGTGGTATCGCGTCGCATCATCTTTCCGCACATTTAACGTTCAGTTTATCTTAATATATGTAAAGAAAAACACACTATTTCTTTAGTTTTATGTAGTCTATGCCATATTTTATCTGTAAACTCTATAATCTCTGGTAATTAAAAAAAATAAGAATTTTGATGTGTAATGGTTTACGGAAAAGTACAATGTGCTAATATTTAGAAAAGAAATTGTTAATTGTTGAAAATTGAAGTTAAAACTGTAAAGGAATAAACTTTAAAAGTCGTTTCTTTGATTACAGGTAAATAGGCAATAAGATAAAGTTGTAATTTAGTTTATTTAATGTGTTCATGTTTTTAACAATAAATCTTTGATTACAGAGCATCGCAAGTTTATTTTCTTTATAAAAATCAGACTGAAAGAGTCTTATATATATATAAATCTCGTGTCACAATGTTTGTCCTCAATGGACTCCTAAACCATTTAACCGATTATAATTGTTCGATCCAACTTGAGAGATAGGATAGTTTAAATTTCAAATTATAGTCGCAATTTTAATTTATTGCTAATTATTTGTCTGTTATTATTTGACAAAGTCAAAGTCAAAATCATTTATTTCAATTAGACCAGAAAGGCACTTTTAAACGTCAACAATAATATTAAAAGTGAAGCTATTTGCTCCTTCCAAGGTGTAGATTCCTATGGAGAAGAACGAGCAAGAAACTGCATAGGTTACTCTTTTTCAATCAGGTTCACAATACAATTCTCTAGTTACATAGTTTGCTGTTTGGATTGTGCGACAACAATGTAACACTAAAATCTAGTCAAAGTGATTGAAAAAGAAAATAACCTTAAAGACAATAAATAATACAGTCTGGAGCTGACCAGTCCCAGTTGACGGTGCCCGTTCACAAACATCACACGTACACCAGCACCGCCCAAATCAATCATATTGTAGGGAATCGAGCGATCCACTGCACGCGCCACCGCCAATGAGACCTTTGAGTGAGCATGACAACTCCACGCTGACACAAATGCATTCTACTAGTCTAATTTAATATTAAGTTAATTACAGGGCTCTCACATTCACAAAGGTTATCTAAGTTAAACAATATACAATTTAGCAAAATGGCTGTATTATTTACGATTTAATTAAAACATCAGTGTTTTTTGTCACCTGTGGAGTCGGACTAGCCTGTATCCAAGCATTTTTATCAACTATATAATCATTCAGTTTGTACGCTTGTATTACGTAATACGCTTGTCTACATAAAGTTTTCTTTATACATAATTTAAATTTTGATTAATTTAGGTGTTGTATGTCGCCTGGTATCTTATTATAACATTTAATACAGAATCCCATGAACGACTTACTTACTTTCGCCAATCTCGAAATTGGCTGACTTAATCTATTTTTATGTCTAGTTTGATAGTGGTGTCTGTTCGACACTTTACCAAATAACTGTAGGATTTTCCTAACATACATGATGTTTTCATAAATAAATTGACATGGAACGGTCATAATGTTGATCTCCCTAAACCTTTCTCTGAGTGATTCGCGACGACCTAGATTGTAGATAGCTCTGACGGCGCACTTTTGTAAGACAAAGATAGACTCAATGTCAGCAGCGTGTCCCCACAGCAAAATGCCATACGACATAATGCTATGAAAGTAACTGAAATACACTAGTCTTGCCGTGTCTATGTCAGTTAACTGTCGTATCTTCCAGACAGCATACGCTGCAGAGCTCAATCGTCCCGCTAATGATGTAATGTGAGGACCCCATTGCAATTTGTCGTCTACAGTAATTCCCAGGAAAGTTGTCTCTTTTACAAACTCTAATTTCTCACCATTCAATAATATGTCACATCCGTTGCTTTTTCACAATTATCTGTTAACTCCAAATGATTCTAACAGATGTCGATACCTTTCGACTAAGTTGATTAAGTAATCAATAGATGGCGCTGCTATGGGTTTTTTTCAATAGGAGTGATTCTTAAGGAAGGCTTATATGTATAATGCATGCATATTGCACCCGTGCAAAGCCGGGGCGGTTCGCTAGTACTGGTTATGTAAAGCTCGATGTGTAGCCGTGTGTATAATACCCAAACCCATCATTCATCTAACTAATACATGTGGAAAGCAATAAAGTATTGAGTATTGTATTCGTTATGCCTAAGAATCCTTCATAAGCCGGCCTTACATAACAAATCGCCATTTTCAGTAACCTTTCACCTTGAATTACTTAGGACGCAGATTTAAACGAAGTTTTGCAGACAATGGAATTGCAGTCTCAATATAATGACACTAATATTTAACAGGATTCATAAACGTATTGTGTAGGTATCGTTAACGTACGGTCGGAATCCTGTTCGCTTTATAGAATTTTAACCTATTTCATCCAACATCCGGGACCCCTCCGAACTCTCCGCAACAAACAAAATGAAATGTGTTTAAATTTCTTCCATTTCTTTTATTGTTATTTTTTTTAACATGTGGCCTATGTATTCCTATTATTTTCCTTTAAATAATTTTTCGTTGCTTCCGTCCGTGCGTCGCTGAAGGGGTGCCAACTGAAAACCAGTGTTGGGTACTTACTGTGCCCAGCTTACACTGAGTTGGCGAGCCCTTTCATCGTGGACATGCTGCCATCCTGTTTCTTTTATTTTGCTTTTTTTATAATGTTTTTTTTGCCTTCATTGTTGTTTTTTTACTGCTGTTTTTTTGTTATTTTATGTTTTTATATTGTTTTCTTTTTATTTTTGTTTTTCAGTGTTTATTAATGTGTTAATATTCGGTGGTCCATCATGTCTGGTGACGAATAAACTATTTTTCTTTCTTTCATACATTTTAAGTAGTTATGACAAACCACATTACATTTACCGACAGTGTACAATGGTCGCCGTGACTCAAGTGCATCAGTAAACAATATCGTTGTACCCGACTATTGGTTTAGCTACGACCTGTTAGATTAACTGTTGACTCGGTAACTACATATTTGTTTAAACCTGAACTCTGTAACGTGCAGTGCAAGACAAACATACAATGGGTAAAATAAATAGTTACATAGGATATGTCACGTGTTGTTTACAAAATATAACATCATAGTAATGTTGTTGGCCTTGTCATCACCACCAGCCCGTGGCTGTAGAGTCCACTGCTTGACCGTGGACCTTCTTTAGTTCTTTAGAGATCGCAGTATAAAAGGTTCAGGTGTATCAAAGAGCACTGCTGCACGGTCTCTGTCTAATGTGTAGTCCCTTAGTCGGCTTTTACGACATTCGCGGCGAGTATAGGAACCGTGAATGACGAGGTAACGCGATTGGTTTCATGTCACGCTAGGGGTTCATATTAATCACTACGAGGACCGCCCTGAGGACACGGTGGAACACATTGTAGCGGAATGCCCTGCGTGGGCTGAGCACCGCCGGGCCTTTAGGGAAGTGATCGGCGATGGCGACATCTCGCGTCCGGGCCTAGTGCGGGTCATGGTGCGGAGCGAGGGGAACTGGGATGCCGTCTCCTCCCTTGCGAAGCAGTCATGCTAGCTAAGGAGGAGGCGGGACGCGTGAGGCAGCGAAGCGCTGCCTCCTCGCAACCCAGTCATCGCGAAGGACACTCCGGGTGTTGGGGATCGCGGGACGATCTCCGGCGGACGTAAGCGCGGGCCTGCGGACGTCGAGCATGGGTGGCTCACCGTCCGACCAGAACCAGACCCGAGCGTACGGCACGTCGCATTCAGAAGCGTTTTACAGAGCCATCAGACCACCACGGATGGGGCCCAACAGGACCGATGCCGATTCGGAGTCGCGGAGAACCTAACGGGTTACCGGGGCTCCGGCGCGACGTGCAGGAGAAGGAACGGGGTGGTTTTTAGTCAGGAAGAGTCACTCCCTCCCGCAGCACCCAGACGGGAGCAGTCATTCCATGATTTAACCCTTAAAAAAAGGGGGTTCATATTTATTCGTAACGTCGCTTCATGTAGACTATTAAAATCGTCAACTAGTAACGCGAGTCGTGA